CGTTCTTCGATTGTAAGACTGAATAGCATGCAATTAAATCGTAAATGGAAGTTAATTGTGAAAGGAAATCTTTTTATTTGAAATGTGGAACCACTAATTCAACTTCCATGTAATACCTTTAGCTTCAGAATCAACCTAGATAAGATAAATCAGTCCTTATGTACTCACCAATTTCCTCACTTCTGAAGACGGGTCATTAGCAAGGATAAACAAACCTTGAAGATATTGATCCATAGATGCATGCAGAGCCTGAAATAGAATAGATGCATAATTGCTCCCACCACCAATCATCAGAAAAAGGTTGAAAAGGTACCAAAAGGTTTGAGATATACTTACAGCTGGCATCAACATAATATATTGATTTACAGAACCCAAGGAAAGCTTTCTAAGCGATGCATGTGGCGATTGGAAAAACTGTGTAAAGGGAAGCCAGGTTCAGCCAACCAGGCCAAAAAGAATAAAGATCATCAGTAAAAGTTCATAATATAAGTGCATAGAGAAAGGGGGAGGGAGAGGGTCTAACACAATACAGCAATCTTATTTTTACCTTAAGTAATCTTGGAAAGAAAACGTTGATGGGACGTTCAGGCAATCCAGGTACATCTGAATCAAGCAGTTGAGGTATATCCTCACAAATCTGTGATACATCACAACATCGATGTCGTAAAAATTAATAAGTTCTGATTGTGCCATTAGTATTAAGAGCTACGGTTAGGAACTACTATAGTTGTCACAATGTCTGTTCTTGTTAGGTGCTATCATAAGGTGATACAAAAATAACATAAATGGTCCCTATGAATGCCTTCACTGAATTTAATTTGGTAAGGGGTGAAGATAAAAAACAGAGGGTTTGATGCGCACAAAAGCTCGAACACAGAGTCTTTTCAAAACAACTGACAAAGGATACTCTCTCATACGGCAAACAAATAGCCCCTTGTAGACTAAGAGCCGGGTCCTATTGAAATCTATTCTCCCAGCGTGCGGTGGTTCAAGATAACAAAACCTTTTTATAGGGAAAAGATTATAGCATTATAGCATTTAAATTACGGTGTGACTTTGTTTAAGTTAAAGCACTTCTTGTAAGAAAGGCCAATTGAAAAACAAAAAGCTGTACTGTTGTTTCAGCTGGCAGAATTTTTTTCATCAAACAGACAGGTACAAATGTATCAAGATATAAGCAACTAGCTGGAAAACATTTGATTATCCTTCACCCAATATTCTTAACCAATCATGAAGAGTTGATCACAGCAGAACAAAGAGAAAGGAACACAAATGTATCACCAAAACAAAGGAACTTTGGGGAAATATGCATGGGAAATGAATGTAATCATTGTGTTTACCTTGGATAATGCGTCCATAGCACCTTCCATGTGATTTAGGTCATTACTGTCTAAACAATTTACAAGAGCTTGCAATAGTTCAGGCCACCCCAAAATTCCCTCTAGCTGAACAACAACAGTTACAATGGTCCCAACTGTAGATCTGACGTGTCTGTCTGCTACTCCTAAGCAAGGCAACAATTCCGATTTTATATATTGCTGGTATGCAGGAGCCATGGAAGTATAAGCATTTTTAAGATTATTCTTCAAAAGCAATCCCGCTGCCTGTCGAACCTCAACCGATTTACCCTGTTCACAATTTACCCAAATTCAAAGTTCCATCAGCACATAGAAACTGAAAGTGTCATGCTATGTTAACCAACAACCACAAACACGAATTCACATTTTCTTCAAAACACATGTTACCACGCATCAGGATTGTAAACTATCCAACTATTTAATCACAGCAAACAGTTTTTACATTAACAAGGATTTGTGGACAAACATTCTTTAGTTTCCAAGGCTTTTCCGGTTTCGCCAGCTGAAAACCACTCTCGAAATCAAGAGAACCGATACCAAATACAATTGGAACAATCCAAATTGCGAAGCAAACATTCTAACCCCTACTGCTTCAGCACTCATATCTTCCATCAGACCCAAACCCACAATTCCACCATTAACTCGAAAAACGACTATCGATTTCTAAGTATGCAATCCAATCAGACCAACATCCGTCCAAATCAAATAAAAAAATAACATTGAAAAACAAAAACACAAACCCTACTGACTCAAATTGGAAATGAATACACAACTGGGGGGAAGTGGAGGGAGGAGGAGCATACCTCGGCACGTGCGAGAATGAACGCAAGGTAGTTGTTGAAATCGGGGAACTGAGAGTAGTGCTGGAGCTGCTGCCAAATCTGAGACTTGTCCGCGGAGGAAGCCGAATGCGAAATCTGCTGCTCCAGCAGCCCGCAGATCGCCGCGAACCCTTCTTCCTTGGGCTGCCACGGGCCGGTTGCCGCCATTGAAACGGACACAGAAGGTTTTCGTTTTCTGCAACCTGGATGCTGGAAGCGCACGCAGGCTTTGGGGGTTTTGAGCAGAGAGAAGAAGAAAAGGGGATTTTAGGACAGCTTTGAGGGGTTTTGGTGGGGCGGCGACGAGGCAAAGGTCGATGATCTCTGTTTAAATAATAATACACGAAATTATCATATAATTATATTAATTATATATAATCACTCTTTTTTTTGGTGAATTATATATAATCACTCTTTTGATTTCCTTTTTGCTGTTTTTCTTATGAACAAAAGTTTCTTTATTTTTTTTGCTTATTTAATATTCTTTGTTATTTATTAGTTATTAATTCGACGGTTAAAAATAAAGAACATCATGTGAATGTTAAAAATAATGTGTGAAATCATCTTCTTGTTACTCATTTTGTGGAGTTCAAATCTTACTCTTTTTTCAATATAAATTAATATAAAATATAACTTTAATAAAAAGAAATATATGAATATTACTCACCTGAGAGTCATAAGACATAAAAAATAATCATTGTATTTGATTTTTTTTGTTTTCTTTTGTAGAAATTTTAAAGCGCCTAGCAAACAGTCTACCAAACAATCAAATCTTGGTGCAGTTTTTCACTTGTGAATTACTCGTGTTCGCCCATGCATCCAAGATATTAGAATCAGCTCTTCTTGGTTTATTAGAATTTAATGTAAATTATCTTATCATTTGTAAAAATAAAAAATAAATAAAACCTTAGAGTTGTCAAACATTTTCAGTCGAAAAGCTGATTCACTTCCATGACAATGTGATTGAAAGAAATCACTTGAAAGGAGTCATGAGTAGGGATGGGCAATGGTTATGGCGGATGGGTAACCGCGGTTATTTATCCATAACCGTTTAAGCTTTTACCCACATAACCGTTTACCCGTTGGATATTTACATAAATGGGTATACCCATACCCCATAACCGTTTATACATAGTTAACCATACTCATAACCGCATACTCATTTACCCATAATCGCATATCTATTTAACCATAATCGTGTACTCGTTTACCCAATTTTAACCCGTTTACTCTCTTTTTTTCACCCGTCTACCTATTTAGAAACATATGTTCATCGATCCAAGCCATTTAATTGATTTCTAATTTTTGGGTCAAATATTTATTGAAAACTCGAGGCCAATTAAATATATATACATACATATATAGGTACGCATCAGCCGACAATAACATGTTTCTAAAAGCTCAAGGTAATCATTATCTTAAGTTGACCAAAGCTCCAAAAGACTCCAAAACAAAACTGTCAAACACTTTAATGCTTTAGCACATTCAATCACATATATTAAACATTGACCCGTTCTATCAACTATATTTTTCTCTCAAGTGAGGCATATATATATTATATGGCCCTTTATAACCAAATATGTCTCTGGATACTAAACTTAGTTAAAAACTAATTTTTTTTTTAGTTTTACATATATTAAAATAAATGGTTAATTGGGTACCCGTTTATAACCGTGGGTAATACCCATAACCGCTCATTTAAATTTCATAGGTAAACGGTTATACCCATAACCGTTTATTTATCTAAACGATTACCCATAACCGTAATCGTCAAATTTAAATAGATGGATAACCACGGTTACCTATAACCAATGGGTATTTACCCATCCCTAATCACGAGAGACAGGATGTATAAAAAGCGAAACATTCTATCACAATAGTAGGCATTAAACCAAGTCCACTTTGCCCTAAAACTACTTGTGGTCTTCCCATAAGCACAATCAATGATTCCATTGTTAAATAGATAAATATACATAAAAGTGAGCAAAGGGTAAGTACTTCAAGTGGTCAAGAGCGCTAACTCCTGCATTAGAGTTTTTAAGTTCAATTTATCTTCCCCAATATCATTATCATTTTGAGAAACACGTAAGAAATTTGAAAGTCCAATTCTTTTTCTTCGAAAAGGGTCCGAATTTTCAAAATCATGTTTTTCAAAATATCATACTTCTCTAACCAAAATGCAATGGTACGATTTTTTTTGTTTTAACTCAACGTTAGTAGGTTAAATTATTACTTGTTAAGCGGGAGCCTTGTGCACTGGGTACGACCTTTTTTTTTTTTTTTAGTATGTTAATTGTAATAATACAACTTTTTCATTTTGCAACAATTATGAACGAATAAAATTCCAATTTTTTGTGAAGCTGTTAAACCTAAAGAGAGCTGACTCTACATGGTTACAAGCCAAGAACCACCAACTCTCAGACACCTGTCCTCAATCATCAGGACTCTACATAGTTACATAGTTACTTCTTCATTAGGAGAGCAACTTATACATGATATTTTGAATTAATAGGAGAGCGACTTGCATGGAAAGATTTCCACCACCACGTAACATTCGAATTTAAAATGCAACATAATGTGATGAAAAACCGACACATGATATTGTATCATAAGATCCGGCCGCCAGAATGGCAATGACTTTTCCCAACAAAATATAAAACATTCAAATCTGCTTAATGAACAAGGAATATATAGAAGCAGAGGATTAGCAGTGAAAAGCACTAGCTGCTGATCATTTGGTCTAACGACACTTAATCTTCACTTTATTTGAGGAGGTTTTGAATGTAAATCTCGTAGTGTTGAACAGAAACGAAAAACGGTGAAACAAATGAAAACCAAAGTGAACCATGAATTGATACAATACAAAGTGTACAATGATTTGTGAAATAGCACAAGATGAAACCTCAAACTCTGTTAAAGTGAATCGAAACGTCATATCTCCGATTATTAACCCCCCACCCAATTCATAATGGAGACTGAAAACAATTCCGTCCTAACCTTGAGAATGTAGAATGGTAGTATACAAGCACAAACTTCAACGCTAGTCCTGAGCTCTCGGTCACTAATGTGATGCAACAGTACAACAGCAGCACACTGGTTAATAGTTAATACACTTCTCTTGCACAATCTTGGGACTTGAGGGACACCCATGACTTCCCTGCAAATCCAAGAATTTTATAGTATATTAGCCTGCTCGCACGTAAGAGTTCCCTATTTGTAAGTTTTCACAAATAGGTTTTGGTTCAGAGATACAGGTCCAAACAACCGTTTTCAAAGGCCTTGAGCAACCTTTGCTCCAATCACAGGGGAAATGATAAGCTTTCCCTTTGCTCCATTCGCGAGACGAGAACCTTATAGTGCTTTTGGGATAATCAATACTATTTTTTCTTCTGCCCAGCCTACATTAGACAAACCAGACAAAGACTCAGAACTGAAGTAAGTGCAGATCAAGATTTAATAAAATATAAAACTGCTGTCAGAGAATTGAGCATCTGCAACCGTATTGTCCTTTTAACACTACAACTACAAGCAGGTATAATAGCCTGTGAATGATCCAGATAATTAACATATATTCTGCTTCAAATTGATAAGATGCAAAATTGTATAACAGAAACATCTAATTAGAAAAATGCAACAGCAGCGACAGTACAATCAAAAGATAAGAGAGGTAACTTTTCTTTTCGACAAGTAAAGAAAAGAGGTCACATCAAAGCTTTTGGATGCACAAAGTCTTATTATCACATTAACATGGCAAGTAAAATTTTAATTAGTCTCGTCATGATAATTGCAATCTTTAGATTAGGTATAAAGAAAAGTTGGCCCAAGTCAAACCTTTTTGAGTTTCTCCAAAACAGAATCTTCGAATGATTGATATCCAGCCCCAACCAAGTTATTAAGTCGATCTGGTTCCTCAGGCCTCTGAACCGGGGGAGCATCAGTCACTGAAACTGGTTTAAGAGGTATAACCAGCAATGGATTAGAAAGATCACCTAACAGAGTTCCTGTTGCAGTAGCCTACAAATAGTACACCCATCATAAGTAACTAGCGCAATAAGAAAATAAACGTTCAAATTAAAACGGACAAATCTGAAAATCATAGCACACTCACAGCTGCATCTTTAGTCGCCATCACAACAAGAGCCGAACCTCTCTTCTTCTTGCCCCTGATGACAACATCTTCAACCGCGCCGAACTCCGAGAACAAACCTCTCAACCTCTCGGCCGTATAACCTTCACCAACATTTTCCCATGAAACTTTAAGCATCTTCTCCTCATCCAACCCCATCTTTGCACCACCCACATTTTCCTTGCCAACTCCACCAGTCTCTCTGTTAGGAGCAAAAGCAGTTGCCGCCCCTTTCTCCGCATGCTTTTTGCGTATTCTCTCAATCTCTTCTTTAAGCTTCCTAGCGATTCCCTCCTCTTCTGCTCTATCTCTGGCAGCCGCATCCGGAGCAAAGGCAGATCGTTCTCTTGCTTCAAGATCAGAGACCATCCTTTGTCGCTTGGCATCGCGTTCCAAATGGCGGCGCTGCTGGTCTCTCTTAACTCTGAGTAAATCATCAAACAATTTCCTGGCCTTCACATCCTTGAGTATCTCATAGGATGACATGAGACTCTGGAAGTTGGCCGGGGCATCGGGATCATCGGGCCTCTTGTCGGGGTGCAACACCAAAGCCATGGCTCTATATGCCTTTTTTATATCATTCTGTGTAAGCTTGGCGCCTTCCTCGCCAGAAGGTAAACCGAGAACCTTATAGTGATCAACCTCGACATCCATATCTAAACCCTAAAATCACAATATTCTGTTTGGGTAAGAAAAAACTGCAATCAGAAACTTTGTCTAATAATTCTTAAAAAATAAAAAATAAATAACACACACTAACGGAACTGGGGTATTTACACTAAACCCTAATATAATATGTGTGTGTCTATTTATATATAGAACTAGAACAGTTTTTAGCAGAAGGCGATTGGATCAAAAATGGAGGTCAAACAAGTAAAATCGAAGGCATGAAAACCCACAGAAATGTACAGAAAATTCAGAAGCAGAAATGTATTTCAAACACTTTGTTTGGAAGTTTACCATTACCGAATGCGTTTCAAATTGGAAATCGGCAGCGCACTCCTCCAGTCTCTTCCTTCAATTGTTGAAATCCCCAATTTACTTTCAGCTAGAAGATCCAAACCCTAATATGCCTTTTACCTCTGAATTCAATTGCGCGTGTCGTTAGTGTGTACGTGTAAGTTCTTGCGTTTAATCTAGGGCCGGTTCGGTATGGGATACCGAACCAAAATCCTTGTTCCGATTTTAAAACCGAAGTTTTCAGGAATCCTAATTTCAATACCGATCTCAAACTAAATTTTAGGGAATCCTAAAATAGATACAGGATTTTGGGACAAATTGGGAATCCCGAAATAATTTTGGGTCTCCTACTCCTAGTGTTTTCCTCAAATCGAGATTTCACAGACAACACTACAACCCGAGCATTGAGTCTCCTACTCCTAGTGTTTTCTTCAAGGGATCTTTTGATATGAGTCCAAAATAACTAAAAATTGAACCTATTTCAAAAGTAGCCTATAAAATTGGACCTAATTCAAATTTTCCCTTTCCTCATTACTCCCTTTACACCTTGCCCAACAGTGATTTGTAATCCATTCAGCGAATGAATGATCAAGTGGACAACGAAAAGGATAGAGTGTTCAGATATTCGACGGCTAGACATGAAAAGACAAACCAATTCCAAAACAAGCACGAGATTGCCAGAGAAGATAACACCATTAAACGTGCCCATGGAACTGCTTCCCTAAAATACTTCTCATACCCACAAAACTCTAGCATCCTTTCCTCTACAAAACTCAACAGAACCCTTATGCAACCTTTTGAGTCCTCTAGCAAGTATAGATCGACATATTGCACCAAATTTAAAGATCAAGAATATGTGGAGAAATAAATGATTTAGGACCTTGTATAAATAGATTCTTCCACAGAACTCAAACATTGATGAATCACATCAGGAATCGATTTAGAAATGAAAAGCCTACAATCACTACCGCTTGGTGATTACCATGTTGCTCCATTTCCAGCTTTCAATGTCAATAATACCATTGTCATTAGTGAAAGAATGCAATTTGAAAACGCAGAAACCAAGAACCCTAATAATGTGAAATATAAAAAGGGATTTCACCTTCCCAGAAACCAAGAACCCTAATCTGATCAATGCCCGATAAAAACAACCAACCAATCCAAAATTTCTAATAATACTCATATAATCAATTAGAAAATTACATACTTTGAATTACTTAGCAGCGAATTTTAGCACGGCAGCGAAAGGGGCAGCCTCTGGAAACCTGGAAAAAATTGATTGACATATAAAAAATTGTAAAAATTCGAAAAGCAAAAAAGGGCCTCGAAGAAAAGAAATTGAAATAGGAATCGAGGGTTATACAATGTAGTGATGTACGAACTCACGATGGGGCAGTTCCAAAACAAGTGATTCTCCAGCGAGGTGAGGTGAGGTCGACAATGGGTGAGGTCGAAGACGACGAGGAGTGTGAGCCGGTGAGGTCACTGAGGTGAGGTGAGGTTGACAGAGACTGAGAGAGAGTGATTTGAGTCTGAGTTAGGGTTTATTTGGATTCTCGAGATTAAACCTCAACCAAATATCAGACGATTGTTAAAATTTCAAATATATATTTAAAATTAAATTTTTTTTTTTTCGGTTCAGTTCGAGATTACCGAACGAATACAAATGTGAGACCGATTTTCATACCAAATTTTCGGGATCAGTTCAGTATTGGGTATCAAAATTTTCGGGATTTTTGATTCGGGATATTTTTGGTTCGATTTCGGGATTTTTTCAATTTGGTTTGGAAATTTCGATTTTTTTTCCACCCCTAGTTTAATCTGAGCCGCCCATCAATAGTGTTAGGCTGGGGGTGGGCCAGTTGGACAAGACATGATGAAATGAACTTAGGGCTTTGAAACCGGAATGACAGAGCTGAAGGAAACCACAATTTTCGACTTTGGATTTGATTGGTTCAGTTCTTGGTTTTATGTTTTTTTTTTCCTTAACAAACGAGATTATTTATAGTGAGAGGAGGGAGTGCGTTTGGCCAGAATCAAGATCTCTCACTTATAAGTGAAAAAAAATATTATTATACCATATTATTAAGTAGTTTTTTTCCATCCATCATGGTTAGTTTGAATTGTTGAAATTATTTTAAAAACAACTTTTTTTAAAATCTAAGACTAAAATTTTATTTGATAAATAAAAAAGAAAGTGGTTTTTTGTCAAGCTTGAGAAAGCAGAAGCAGTTCCAGCCATACTTTTGAAAACAGCAGTTTTTTTTCCAACACAACAACCCAAACTGTCGCTGAAAAATTGAACCACCTGAGCATCATTCGCTTGACTTGACCTGAGTTGCTCACCCTCTCGTGTTAACGACGAATGCCTTTTTCGATTCTGATATGCTGACCGCTCTTTTGCCGCCACGATCCTGCCCCTCCAGGTACGCACTCATCCATGGTTTCTCCAATCATAGCCGTCAATAATTTCTCAACACCCAATTAAACTGATCCAGTTTCAAAAAATCAATAAAAAGTTTCCTTTTTTATTAGGTAAATTCAAGGTTCTAAAAAACACTAGGCGCTAGTCGGGCGATGGGCTGGCGTCTAATGCCTGGGGGCTAGGCAAGCGCCTAGGCGGCCTAAGCGGATTTAGGTAAATTTCTTGTAAATATATGCATATTAACACTTACAAAAAATTATACTTGTGAAATCTATAAATAAGATAATAAAATAATGATAAAATGTAAAAAAAGTATTCAACAAGTTCGAAATTAAAAAATACATTAAGCACATATACCATATAACTTAAGATATTTTGAATGATTGTATCTAATTTTAAAAAAATAAAGGTATAAATCCCACGTAGTGGGTTAGGTGGTTTGTAATAAAGAAAAAATTATGAAAAAGTGCATGCATCCTTCCCCATTTCATAAAGCACCATGTGTGTGATGTGACCCCACCCTTCCACCCCTAGTCCCCATGCATCCCTCACAATTCACATCAGCCAGGAGAGTCAGAGACTCCCAACACCATTTTGACGCCTTGAGACTCCCAACCATTTTGAAAACCGAAACTTTATTCTTTTTTATTCTTCCTTTTCCTCATCGTTTTTGTCTTTTTCCCCTTTCCTCTTCTTCTTCTTCTTCTTCTTCTTTCCCGTTTTCCCTCTGTAAATTCTCCCCTTTTTTTTGTTTCCTCTTCTTCTATTTCGGTGTAAGTTCCTCTTTTTTCGATGGATTTCAGATAGAGGGAGTCGCGACAACTAAGAAAGTCGTGGTGCACAGAGAGAGGGAGTCAAAGTGGCGAGAAAGCTTTTGCGATTCTGGGTATTTGGTTAGATTTATTCCCAGGAAACCATTTCACTCTACCTAAACCGCTGCCTAGACCGCCCAGGCCTCCTAAGAGCGCCTAGGCGGACGCCTAACAGCTCCCTGATTTTTCTTAACGATTCGAACCTAATCAGATCAGCATAACCACGCCCAGCGCCTAGGCCGTTTTTTAAAACACTGGGTAAATTACACAAAACTACCTCAACTATTGGTCGAAACACAATCTCATACCTCATGTTTTAAAAATTACAATATCATACCTCATCTTACAAATTTGTTGCAATGTCAGACCTTCATCAAATTTTCTGTTAATTTCTCTATTAAATACTAACGTGGCTTGAGGCGAGCCCACTTCTTAATCCAGTTGGATTAAAAATTAATTAAATATTCAAAAACTAAAACTAAAATTATTTAAATATTTTATTAAAGAAGAGGGACCCACCACTTACAAACTCATCCCCTCACCTTTTTCCCCCGTCCACCATCTCGGCCACTGGTTTGTCGATTCACTCGTCGCTGCTCAAATCTTCCTAGTCTGTCCGACCCATCTTCCTCATCCATCTCTCCCCACCAATCTTCTCCGAAGTTCCTCCTCCAACCTCTTTCTCCTCCTCCTCTTCGTCCTTTTTTTTTTCTTCCAGATGGTCATATTGCATAGAAGGCAGGAGACCATTTAAGCTTTACAAATCTTACCACCATCTCCAATCCCAAGTGTCACTCTCGCTCACTCAGAAACCTTAATAAAATACCCAAAACAATTTATCCCCAATCTCTAACGCTACACCTTCACCGTCCTCTCTAAAGACGAGATTTCCGGCGTTGAAATCCCGAGAATTCCCTAGTTCGATCCGCCATGAACTGCAACCAAGCAACCTAAACTCTGGGTGGATCCTGTTCATGGCACCGAGAGCAGTGGAATGGTGGTGGTGGCAACGATGCTTGTCGCTAGAGTTTGTAGTTAACTCGCCTAAGAAGCTCGCCTAAGAAACGGTGGTAGAGGAAATGGTTGGTGAAGAAGGGTGAGGGGATGAGTTTGTAGGGTGGGTCTCATATTTTTAAATAAAAACATTTAAATAATTTTAGTTTTTGAATATTTAATTAATTTTTAATCCAACTGAACTACGAATTGGGCCCGCCTCAAACCACTTCAGCATTTAACAAATAAATTAACAGAAAAACTGACGGAGGTCTGACATTGCAATAAATTTGTAAGATAAGGAATGACATTGTAATTTTTAAAACATGAGGTATGAGATTATGGTTCGACCAATAATTGAGGTAGTTTTGTGTAATTTATCCTTTTTTATTTGCATACTCTCAGACTATAAAAATCGTAAAAAATGAATGTTAATAGTAAAAAATGAATCTTCAATAGTTACAGCAATGGAAAATGTATTGATCTTGTATCATGTATTAACTGTTTGTTCAACTCTATAGCTTTCGATTATGTCATTTGTATTATCAACTGAGTTTTTTTAGTAGAACGATAGCGTTAGTGGGTTAAATAATTAGTTGTTATGGAAGTCGGTGAAGATCAAACCCGCACCAAGGTGCTTAGGCATGAAAACTTTTTGCCTCTGCGGTAAAATGCCATCTTCACCAGTGAGTTACCTAGGAAGATACTATCACATATCACATTTGATTTCATGCTTAATTCTTGATTGCATCGGTGTACATGGCATATATTGCTAAGTTTAACGACCGGATGTTTGCTAAAGAATTCAGAGGAATTTACCGGAAGAATTCGAGTCACTTACAAGGCATTGCATACGATACGGTACTATCACATATGCTTCGGTTGACCAATCATCAAAAATTTTGAGAGGATTGTATTCGATTTTATTGTGTTTTGTTTTACGGCAGGTGGGATTTACACAGTCGAATTGCTTGGGATTGGGAGCTTAGCCGCCTCTTTAATTCAGAGGTATGTTGATTATAGAGTTACATCTCAGAGGTTACCCTCATGATTTTTGTGTATACCGATATTTCCACGCACTCTAGTGACAAATGAATATGTTCTCTTCCTTGCATATTTTTCAAATTGCTTTGCAAATACAGAATAATGAATTCGGAGACAAATTATGAAAGGGAATTTGATAAAAAATGCTATGAAAGACAAAAGCGACATAGATTACATATTCAGTTAGCTAAAAGATAAGTTTGAATCTACATGGGCACCAACAGAAAGGTTCGACATTTCGCTGTAAACAGTTGTAAATTTCCTTTTTTTTCATTCTTGCATAGGTTGGTTTTTGTAATGAATAATATCAGAAAAGATTATGATGATGTTATTTATAATTAATGATTGTTTAACCCACATCATGGCTATAGGTAATTGTTTTATCCATTTTTTAGATATTCTTTTATTGTTCATATTGAGTTCTGCAAGTTGTATGTTTTTTGAGGTTTTCATATTTGTTCAAAGTTTAAAAACTACATATGGATTGTCACCTCTTCTTGTTCATCAGTTAGAACACAATGTAGCCTCCTAAATTACTCTAGCATGCACAAGGCGTTCTTTCTTTGAATCAGCCATTTATCTTCCAAATGACTGAAATTTCAGCAATTTCTATATGGTGATTCACTAATGAGTAATTTAGTGGATGAATTGATACATAATAACCCTTGAATAAAATAGCTTCCATAGAGTTAATTTACCAAGCTTTATTACACAATTGGAATTATTCTTGGTAAGTACCTTGCTAGAAAGTAATTTGTAATAATTGGTTTATTCCTAAGTTGTACAAGTTCCTTGAGTATTAATTCTTTGGTGGATCAACATTTTGTTATTTTGCCTTCACTTGTAACTTGTCATGTAGATTTCACATTGCGAATTTGGAAATTGATAAATGATTAATTGCAATTAGGGCATGTCTAAAACAATGTGGAGAAACCGAATGTGTAACGTAGAGATGCTTTCCACATTGCAATTTTTCTTCCGATGGGGTCTCCGTTGATGGTCCATGGTCCTTGCAAGAACCTCTTTATCAGCACTGGAAATAATGGGATTGCCAAAGTGATTGCCGTTACTATTGTATGGTTGACAGAGAGAAAGAAAGAGAAGCAGCTGGGAACGGTCCAGTCAAATATCATGGTAAATGGCCCTTCGAGCGTGTTTACGAGATGCAGGTTTGTCTTCTTGGACTACATGCCTTGGCAACATTTTCTTTTACAATATATTATAAGGAAAACTAATGAAAATGGCTTGAAAACTTTGAGTTTTAACAATAAAGACAAAATAAAGAGTAAAGTGAATAGTACCATGATTGACTTTTTAGTGTAAAAATAAGGTTTTTCGTTAGAGTAAAAAATACCGGGAGCTTTTTGTTAAAGTTCCCATTATTATAATGGTATCGTA